ATTATAAAAAAGAATAATTAATAACATTTGTTGTCCTTGATTCTACAAGAAGTGTCTACTACTTATGAGTGGCATATTATTATGCTTGTTGTAATATTATCTCAAGTCTGTATATCAATAAAAACTGAAATAAACAGTTTGTTTTTGAGTAACCATTATTTGTDTGCTTAATTACGATTGAATGAATTTTAACCTTTTTTTTTTTTTTATTTACTTAACAATTCCCAATAAATATTGTATTATTAAATACAATTTTCTTGAATCGCAATAATATTACTCTATTAATATTAAAAGAGGTTAGAATAATATACACGTTAAATAGTTTTTATATATAATTAAAAAAACCTGTTAGTAACGATAATGAATTATTGTAATACATAATATATTAAATTATAATCAACTGTTAATATGAAGTGTTTTGTTTATACTATAATATATTGTCTATGAGTATCAGTATACAGTATACACTATACGGTGTAGGAGAGCATTCGGCTTAACAATGACGATTTATTACCGTCCTCAACAAACAAATATAGCTTTTAGATTTATTATTATTTATTTAGATATTGAAAAAAAATGTTTATTACCTATAATTATTAGTACCAAATGATATAAATAAAGTTAAAAAAGTAATTAAACCCTAGGTCAATCGCTAAGAATATTAGGACGAAATTAAAAATATGGAGATTAAATAATTTGATAATAATAAAAACAAAACAATAATAATTTGTCTATAAGCTATAAGCTAATTTAACAAATTCAATCCGTTACTATTAAAACAAAATGCTTTAGATGACTTCAATACTAAACGATTACACTTTATGTCTATAAATAAATWATTTGATAGTATTTATAAAAGTTCGCTATCTGTTTACTAGTATAAAACTAATACTAGTATAATACCTGAATAAATCTACTTTCAGATATCTATGTTTTCAAAATATTTCAAGAAATAAAGTACCGTGGTGTTAGGTTAGCTGTTACACTAGATACATTATGTAATATTTTATTACCTTGGTAAGTTTTATCTTATCTCAACCGTTTTATATCAAGACACAGATATGTATTAATTAATAATACAATATTAAAGCCATTAGAGGATAATTAAAATTATTTTATATTGACCCACCAAAACTAGATCACTACCTATATTATTTTTATTAAATATTTAAATAAAAAGAAAGTAGTTTTTCACAGCACACTTTTTCAATAGGTACTAAAAGGACCTTCAATATTTTTATTTGTAATTCAATACTAAAAAGTAGTTTAATATACAATATCTAAATTAATGTAAATTGTTAGTTGTAATTATAAATCACAATTTGGATCACTTCAGAAGTCAAGTAACATGACAACTATGTTKAGTATAATGTTGGAAAACAAGTTTTTTACAAAAAGCCTATCGTAGTCAAAAGAGAGATATCTTTCTCGAAAAAAAATAGTAAACTAGGCCTRAGCAATATTTAGTGTGCCGAAAACTAATTATAACAATTAACAAATTCAAGTGGTAAATAGTTTGATTTAAAACTTTWAAAAAAAAATGCAGGAATTTAGGAATCCTGATTTTTCCCTCCCCTGCAAACTGTGTAAATTACGCGAAGAAATACTACTACACCTTGCCCACCAAGCCCATTCCGCAAGTCAATGTGTATAGATGCTAGAGTTTWAGGATAATACAAATATGAGGAACCGTACTCCTAAATTATAATGTTTACATTATTGACGGAATCAGAGACAAAATATTACTCTATTAAACGATAACCGTAATTGAACATTTTACTATTAATAAAAAAAACTTAAAAAAACGAATGACCGCGCCACCATGGTATAAACTGACCACTTCAAAATTACATACATCATTCGTAATTTTAATATTGAGTGTTTTGATTTTGTACAAGAAGAAATAGCGTTCTCGGGGTTCAAATTTCCGCGAMTAATTTTAACCAWTGATTATAAATACTATAGTATTGTTTTAACATTGTTCCAAACCGAATTTGTATTAAAGTCAAATGGATTGATTTCCTATATACGCCGATACAACTTAGGTTTTAATTTTATGAGTACGAAATATTTCACAAAGAAACTTTCACCATGAATAAATTCAACACATATTTTTTAATTTTTTTTTTAACATTGGGTTTTTGGTATATTAAATTTCATAAAATAATCACTAGATGTCAGACTGATTTCATGCCTGATWAGTGATTAGTGATTAATGACTATCTATGTTTAGTTATAACTTATAATAATCACATGATGTAGAGAGAATATATTATATAGAATGGATAATTATTATTTAAATTTTATAATGTACGATGTGAGCAATATTAGTGTATTAGGTACTATAACATTGTCCAATAAACATATAACTAAGTAGAGGTGTTTATTGTATTCCCTACTAAAATTCTAATTTAAACTTAAAAAATTTTTATTTTTCATCAATAGATATGAAATATMTATGAAACATTCATGAAATTTTAGAACCCTAACACAACGGTATTTCTAAGTTTTTGAACTGACCACACTCACGCACATAATCGAATCACGGAGAATTTTTACGTTATTTCGCACAYCTAGGTATCTGACTAGGTTCTATAGGAAGTAACAACAATATAAATTAATTTGTCAATAGCAAGTTAATATTTAATCAAACTGTTTATTGCGCTACAACGTATTTACTATTTACATAATGATATTTAAATTAACGATTTAGCTATAGATATAATTGCTGCAATAGCTTAAGTAGGTTTTACGTATTGACAATCCATAGAAAGTCGACGTACTACGTAGTTTACGTTTATTGTTTTTAGTATTTTAAAATCGATACTTACGATGTGCGCAAATATGACAAATAATATTAAATGGGCACATTTATATAACTATTATTATAATAGTTAGTAAATGCTATTATTATAATAGTTATAAGATGCTTACACAATTTAACATAAATTATAAGTAAATTTGTTGAATAGAAAAATKTGTTAAATTGTTAAAATATTAAAATCGATTATGCACTGAATCGTCTTCGTTTTTATTTTTGAMAACTAGTTTTTGTATTAGCAATATTAGTATCATAATAATAGAATACCTATTCAACGGTTAGATTTAACAAATTAGTTCTACTCAACGACCTTCGAAATATCCTAGTACCTAATTAAGCATTAAATTAATAATGCAATAACTACTAATAATTAACTTACACTGCACGCCAATGAACAATTTTTAAGAATGCCATAATAATATGACATTATTTATTTATATTATATCAATCAATAAGCTCACATTACACTCTCAGTTTTTTCAGAAGTTGTCGGGGTAGTAGTTTTCCAATCGGGAAATCATAAAATCAATCGACCAACATTGATTATTTKTATGACTGGTTGATCGGCTGATGGGTGTAATATTACCCAATGTACTACATCATTATTTTTGTTGAGTTGACAATATTATTGAATATGCTATACAAACACCTTTTCATAACAGTCATAATATACTCGTACAACTACTTGTCCAGCGATCCTCAGAGATGAGTAGATTACAAGGAACGCGGAAAATTAGTGTATAGTTATGAATATTTCTTAGAGAGCATTTGAAAAACAAAATATTCCTTTGTAATTTTTCGAAGACACTTTAAAGAGGGAGGAGCTCGTGCCAAATAATACGATTTATACATCCGGACACTATAATGCTTTAATGCATAGCAAGCTTGCTAATCGAGCAGACAGCGAGTCCTGTGTATGTGACGCTCGTCCTACTCATCTGACCACCAATCAGTATTTAACAAAATAATAAAAGGTATCGGTTTGACGAGTTCCAACGGATCGCCGATTGAAAACGGGAGAAGGGATAATACGTCATTCATTGAACTTTTGGTCCGTCGTTGTCGAAATGAACAAGAAATCGTTGAGCAAAAGATAAGCAAATTACCAAACTCGTTTTAAAATAGGGTAAACAAACGCATCCGATAAACTTGGGGAAAAAAACAAATAAAAACAATGACGGCGGAAAACAATAATAATATAAATATTCAACATAGGTTATCATTATTAAACAATAATATTATAAAAAACATTTAATGATTTCASATATCCAGCTTAATGTTCCAATGTATGTTTATTATAATATAGTACAGAAACGGAATATATAATTTTCAAAACATAATTAATAATAATATTATGAATCATGTGTATTCAGTGGGTAGGTATTATGTAATAATAACGTCGATAAATCCAAAACTGAGGAACGCGAGTCCGACGGCGGTACTTAATATTTTTACGCAACGTTTATTGTTCCAGAGGGTGGGAGCAGCGGTGTCGTAGGCATTGGTGTCGGGGTCGGGGTGCGGGGTGAGTGAAAAACCCGTGTGGTGTACGTGCAGTTTGTCACGTACGCCACTCGGCGGCGAACGGCTCACGCGCACGCGGGGGGTAGAGGAGGAACGACGGTGAGGAAGCAGAAGTAACCGAAGAAGAAGAAGAAGAAGCGAAGTGAAAAAGAATCCAGCAGCCGCCGCGGTCGGGAAATAGGGAAAGGTCATGTGCGCCGGCCGTGTGGCGTACGTGACGACCGGTGATCGGTCTATGGCCGATCACGTGCGAAAAAATATTCTGTAGGCAAAATTAATTCAGGCATACATTATCCGTGACGGGTTTTAGACGTGCGTGTGCGTCGTTACTCGCAACGACTGTAGTACGCACATGTTCATTAAAAATCGTTATGCACTCGTTAATGGTCGTATAGACTATAGATACACTCTGCTACAAATTACTATTACGCATTTACGCACAATTCAGTATATTACTGACGAGTCGGTWCATATAATCATTATCGTTGATCATGATTTATGAATTTATAAAAATTGTTAAATACTACCTACTGTTGTAGTCTGTAGTAGTAATATTATTTACAACTTATAATTTTAGAGATATACATAAGAATACTAATTATATTGTCATTGTTAAAATATAGATAATAATATTATAACGATAGGTASAACTTACCCCATGCTCGAACTGTGCCGGTGGCCAAAACGACCGAAATCAATGCGAATGTATACTTTAGGAAACTCATCGCGTGTACGTGTAGGTAGAYGTGTATAATAAATTATACAATATATAGTGTTATGCAATAATATACTTTCGGAACAGCGTTATAAAAATAATAAGTTATTTAATGTACTAGTCTCGATGGTAAAAAACTAAAAAGGTTATATTATTAAATAAAATAGTGTTAAAAATAATAGTAGGTCCTATACGCAAAAATATGGACTATAAATTAACCGTTGAGGGCGCAGTGTCGCGTTAAATGTGACGGGGGACAGTGTGAAAAAAATTACGGAACATTTGAAATTGCCGCGTGCGGTCGACACGCGCTCCTCCGGGATGCGGCGGACGGCGGCGACGGTGGTATACTGAGTCGACCGAGTTCAGTCTGATCAGCGGCGATCGGTCGTGCCGTGAGTTATTAATATTYTCGTCTCTACGTCGGCGTGCGTGTACGAACTAGTGGTGCGATGCTTCTGCGCGCGCGCGCGTGTTCAGTGCGAGTAGGCGGCTGTCCTGAGCGTGTGTGCGTGCGACCGAGCGAGACGGTTAGGCGGTGCCAAGTGACCGGCCCGCGCGACGCGACTCAGTTGGTCCGGTCCGACGTGCGGCGGCGCAACTTGACGTGCGCGCGCCGACGAGTTCTTTATCAGGCGCCCGGCGTCCACCGCGGCGCCGCTGATTGTTTTTCAAATTATTATTATGTTTTATCATAATAAGGGGTTTGCACTTTTTCGTCTGTCCGTAACGGCGCGCCGTGGGAAACAATGATTACAACTTTACTGATAAGCCACTCACCGCTCACCAAGTCGGCGCTTTTTCAAAAATTCGACGACKACCCCGCGCGTCGCGCTTGTTCCGCTATATCRCARAGTACCGCACCGCCACGGTCCTCTCCATGATACGGTCAACCCGTTCGCGGGTTTTTTGCCGCGACGGTCAACGACACGTGTAGTGCCGCCGTCGATTGGTGCACGTGCGCTTTCCGTGAACGCGACCATTCGATACAAACATTTTTTTAACATACATAATATTATATTGTAATATTGTGTGCGTGTGTGAACACTCAAATTTTTGGGATAGTTGTATAATAATTAATTATTATAATTACCACTATCGCTCAGATTGTGCTGAATTATTAAAATATAATTTTAAATATTAATATTCGATCAAAAATGCGACGATAACGTTACATTATTCAGTTATGGTAAACCCGATTGTGGTAGGTATTTAATACTTATCATGAACATGTAAAGTATCTCATACGCGTKTGTTGAGTAAATTATGCGTTTATTTTTTTTTATATATATTGCCGTGTTCTTAGCAGATAGCTATTTCTTTTATAATGTAGTCATCGGCTGTATTTTTCAAATATTTTCTGCTCTAT